GATGGATGGATGGATGGATGGAAGGATGGTGTTAAGAGCAGTCTGAGCCCCTAATAAAACGATTTACAAACAAACAAAAAAGCAAAGGTGGACGTGTTGCCAGGAGAGGCCAGTCCCTGGAGAACAGCACCCCGCTTGGTAAAACAGAGGGGCGGCAACAAAGAGGAAGGCTCTGGACGAGGTAACCACTGTGAGGACCACGCGGGGTCAGTAAGAGGTGGGAACAGACTCCCAGGAACCAAGGAAGCCAGAAGGACAATCCCGGGAGGGGGCGGGGCGTGAACCTCGCAGGAAGGTCTTGGGAGCTTGTGATTGGGCAGGACGGGAGGGGGCGGTCCTAAACGCGGGGGGCGTGGCCGAGAGTGCTCACCTCCTCTCGCGGAGCCGCCTGCAGCTCCCTCCAGGCCAGCACTGGCCGCCCCAAGTCCACGGAGCTCATAGGGACCCGCACCTCGCCGATGGCGTCGTTGCGGGAGAAGCGGTCAAAGTCGTACACCGCCATGACGAGCACTCTGCCCCCCAGCTCCACGTACGGGACCTGGGAGGGGGTGGGGTGCGAAGGAAGAGGATGAGGGGACATAGAGTGAGGCAGAGAGGGAGGGAGGAAGGATGGAGATGCGGGGAGGTGGAGACCTGGAGTGGGGGCAGCAAGGACCTGTCCCAGAGGGTGGTCAGTAAAACCAAGCGGAAAAATCCAGGTCCCAGGGAACACTCCAGGGGTCACTGGAGCCCCAAGGGACAGGCCGGGATGTACGGAAACAGTCTGGGGGTCGATGGAGCCCACAGGGGTGGGTCAGGGTTCTATAGGAACAAACCAGGGGCCCTGGAAACCAATCAGAGAGCCCTGGTGGTGTAGGGGCTGGGTTACACATTGGGCTGCTAGCCACAAGGTCAGCAGTTGGAACCCACCAGCTGCTTCACCGGAGAAAAATGAGGCAGTCCTCGCCCATGTTGATTTCCAGTCTTGGAAATTGCCCCAAAGGGGGCGATGCCACTCTGTGGGACCAACTCTATAGCAGTGGGTGGATTAGAAGTCCAATGAGACAGTGCAGGTTCCAAGACCCAAATGGGGTGGTCCAGGGAACAGCCCAGGGGTCTGTGGAACCTCAGTGGGAAAGCCCAGGCCCCAGGGGGATAGTACAGCCCAGGCCCCAGGGGGATAGTTCCCCCCCACCCGCGGAATCCACAAGGGACACTGGAACCCAAGAGAATGGCAGCATCAATGGATGGGCAGCTTGAGTTCCAAAGGAGCAGCCCACAGGTGAGCGAGTGTGCCTGAAAGGGACAACTGAGGGCCCAGCTCACAGCCCCAGAGCTGGTGTCCACCGCCTGCACTGTCTGCCCCTGGTCATGCTGAAGGCGCCCGTCCCCAGCATTCCGGGGACGGAGTGCAGGCTGCCCACCACAGACCACTGATGACAGCAGCTCACCTTGAAGGCAAAGTTCTCTCCGAAGTGTGGGTTCAGCGTCTGCCGGTGCACCTTGGTCTCATATCGCCTCCGTTTGTCGGGCAGCAGGTAGACGGACACGTAGGGGTCTGAGGAACCACCCAAGTCCAAGGCAGCCAGCCCCTCGGCCTGGAGGATGCCCACCAGCAGCTGTGGGAGGCCCAGGCACGGTGAGAGGGATGGAGACACTCAGCTGTCCTAGGTTGTCCTCCAGCCCTCCTGCACCACACCCACCTGGCCACTTTGGAAATCATAATCCAGCGAGTACTGCAGCCGCCCTAGATCATGCTTCTCAGCCACCTGTTGCCCTGGCCCCGGGAGTGCTGGATCCAGCTCCTCTACTTCTGGCTGCACCTTCAGAGTTCAGAGGCAAAGGCAGGTGAAATCTTCCCCTGATAGGGGAATCCTTTAAGCTCCGAAGCCAAAGGGAACACAACAGACCCTTTGGGTCCTATTTGATCACTTACAGGATAAGTGAAATCAGTGTTTGATTATGATGCCTGCTTATCAGGGACTAGAGAAAATGATACACTGTGCTGTGTGCCTGTTGGTCTTTGATTAGTGATGTCTGCCAGTGGAAGGGAGTGGGCATAGTGATATGTGTGTGTGCTTATGGATGTTTGATTGGTGATGTCTGCCATGGTAAAAGAAGAGATCTGGTGATACATATGATGTGTGTCGAGGTCTGATTAGGGATGTCTGTCAGGAGATGGGAAAGAACACAGGCAGTGTGTGTGTCGATGTTTGAGTAGTGGTGCGTTCTGGAATAGTGGTGACACTTGGGAAGGGTGTGTTTGACATTCTAGACTAGAACTGTAGGGCTGATAGTGTTACCCACAGGAAAGATGCAAGAAGTCTTATTTCACATGCTAATGGATGCATTGTGGTGATTGTCTAAAACCAGGTTGGTTAGTGACTTGGCCACCACAAAAAACGGAGGGGAAGCAGCGTCTTCTGAATCGGAAGGCAACTCCTTAACCTAAGCAAGCGAGTTTTAAATCTCAATGTGAATCAGAATGCTCCTGAAGAGTGTGCTGCGGTGCAGATTCCTGGGGTCATCACCCAAGAACCCTGATTCAGTAGGTCTGTGGCCAGGTCTGGAATTTGCATTCCCACCAGTTCTCCAGGTGATGCAGATGCAAATGGTCTTGCAACACCCCTGGTTTTAAGGACCGGATGGAGGCTGAGTACCAGGACCCTCACAATGATCACAGCAATTTTGGAGAAGAGAGGCTGTGGGACATACTAGCTATGACTGTGGGCTTACGGCAGAGAGAGAGAGAGAGAGAGAGAGAGAGAGAGAGAGAGAGAGAGAGAGAGAGATCTCAAGCTCACACAGCTGGGGAATGGTCCCTTCCCTCGCGTTAGAAACCTAGGACTCTCTGTATCCCCAATGCTCAGATCCTTGAACATGTTGTCTTTTCTTTTCCACTCCAATGGTTGCACCAGACTCCTCCATGGTCCCCTGGCCTCAGCTCTGTCCCCTACATGGGTTTCCAGGGCATTCACATCAACCCTCACCTGACCCTGTCCCTCTCCGGCTCAAAACTCCGTGGCTCCCAGTTGCCTCCCACAAGTGGACACTGCTGCCTTCTTCAGACTCTTCATCCTGGAACTCAGGATGTTATAATGTGCTCTGTATCATCCAACCCACCATCTCACTGGGTCCTACCTGTAATGTCTGGTTTCTCCAGAAAGAGACCTTTCTTTCAGACCTTTCTTCCAAGTCACTGCTGGGTGGGTTCGAACCGCCAACCCTCCAGTTAGTTGCCAAGCGCATTAAGGGTTTGCAGCACCCAGGGACTCCATGGATTATCTGCTGTTGCTTTGAGCCACCGGGTTTACTTTGGACCCAGGGTGGCCTCATGTCACAGAGTAGAACTGCCCCATGCATATCCGAGGCTGTAAGTCTTTCTGGAAGCAGACTGCCATCTCTTCCTTCTAATGATCAGTTGGTGGATTCGAACTGCCAGCCTTTGAGCAGCACTTGGACCATCATGCCACCGGGACTGCTTATGTACCAGGGCAAGTGCAAACAAATTGCTACCACAATCACGGAAACCTTTCTTAAGCACAAACGTGAGAAACGTGAAGCTCTTGTTTCTCAACATGGTCTCCACCTAGTCCTACCTGTTTCTGAAGACAGTGTTCCCGTCTCAGTCCCCCCTCCCTAAAGAACCCGACACTCTTCAACTGGACACTGGGTCAGAGGGGGCCCTTTGGGCCTCCTCCAGGGACTCAGAGGCTGCTCCTTTTCAATGCTCTTGGAGTTTTGGGGGGAACAGAAATACATCTCACAGGGCAAGACAAAGACAGGGTGGATGGGTCCGGTTTCCGCTGCGATGCTCGCAGGACAGCCCTCGCAAGCCTTGAAGAATGGGTAGGTGCTTTGCCAGGAATTCCTCAGCGCAACGCTCCTGGCCTTTTGGTCATCAGACGGCTTTCCATGATCTCAAAACTTCTTCATCATAAGCCCCTGGGATCATCCTGTGTCCTCTAAGAAAATGGATCAAGATGACCCCCTTTTGGAGTACCCCCCCTTCCACAAAAAAAGATCCCTATAACCTTCTGAGCTGACCTCCCTGTGTCATATTTAACTGGCCCCGCAGCTCCCTTCAGAAGTCACCGTCTCAACTGTGCTCGAAGGCATCCTAACAAGATTCAAACAAGGGTTTCACTGAGAAAACCTGTCTGCAGCCACCCACGGGTTCTCTCAGTGATACACTTAGAATAGAGTAGAATAGAGTACAGTGGAGTAGAATAGAATCGAGTAGAGTAGAGTAGAGTAGAACAGAGTACGTACAGTAGAGTAGAATACAGTACAGTAGAACAGAGTACAGTAGAGTAGAATACAGTACAGTACAGTAGAATAGAGTAGCACCGGGGGCACGTTGTGTTGGGAACAAGCATGCCCATGTGCAAGCAGGAACCCCAGCAGCCAGGCTTTCTTACTTACTTGGGGAGCCCAGTGGTGGAAGCGCTTGGCTGCTTGCCCAAAGTGCAGTGGTTCGAACCCGCTAGCCACTTCACAGGAGAAAGATGGGGCAGTCTGGGTCAGGCAAGGCTGACAACCTTGGAAAGGCTAGGACTCAGTTGGACTCTGTCCTGTCGGGTTGCTATGGCCCAGAATTGACACGACAGTGTGTGTGTGTAAATGTGCTCCAAAAATTCCATAGATTTCCTTTGGCCTTTAATTCCCTTTTTCCACAAATCGTGTGATGCTTGCTCATCTATGTCTATATCTAGAACACCTCCCCCCAAAAAAAAACCCAAACCTGAACCCACTGCCTTTGGGTCCATTCTGATGCATAGCACCCTTCTATAGGGTGTCAGGGACTGTACATCTTTACCGGAGCAGATGGACACATTTTTCTCACTCAGAGTGGTTTTGAGTTTCTGACCTTGAGGTTAGCCACCTGATGCTTATCTCAGAGTGCTACTAGGGATCCTAGAGTAGAGTAGAGTAGAGCAGAATAGAATAGAGTACAGTGCAGTAGAGCAGAATAGAATACAGTAGAGTACAGTAGAATAGAATAAAGTATGGTAGAGCACAGTAGAATAGAATAAAGTATGGTAGAGTAAAATAGAATAGCATAGAGTAGAGTAGAGTAGAATAGAGTACAGTAGAGTAGAATAGAATAGAGTAGAATAGAGTACAGTAGAGTATAGTACAGTGGAAGAGTACAGTAGAATAGAATAGAAT